TTGACGGAGGTCCCCACCCCTGTCTTCAGATCTGCTAAGCATACATAGTAGAACGATCCGGTCTATCCCCCGACAGGATCTACGGGGAGACACATTATTGCCTTGAGGTGAGCGGGCTGGCCTAAGGTGTGACACAAACGAGCAATGCTGTCGACAATGTTGGGAAGCTAGACCGGAAACCGTAAGTTGAGTATTTAACTGTTTCATACGCTCTACCTTGTCAAAACTGAACTCCTTGCAAGTGTAAACAGAGCAGAACATCTGATATTTCCAAACCAACGCGGAGAATAATATGAAAGTTGAGTTGAGTAAGTTGAGGAGAGGTGGTGGTAGTCTGGATGTGGTAAATGGTATTTGGGAAGTACAAAATAAGTAGCGTGTGGTTTATATTGTCATTACAACAACGCCGACAGCGACAGCAACATAAGGGACACCATCTTTCGACTATGTTCGCAACGCGCAACAACGTCAACAACAACTCATCTCTCTTCTCTTCTCGTCTCTCTCTGTTCTTAATACGATTATGGAGAAATCTATGCGGCAGTACCCTTGCTCACGGTCTTGATAATCTGTTCGTACTCGATGTCGTCCTGCTCGTTGGCCTGGAGCTCGACAGCGATACCGCTGAGAGAGCGCTTGAGGGCCTCCTTGGAAGAGGCGTAGACCATCTTGGACTGTTTTATTTTGGGGGGAGTCAGTTAGTTCGACTTGCTCGCTTCGGGAAATATATATTTGAAAAAGAGTCGGGAGAAAGCAAAAAGAAGAACGCACCTTGATGCCAGCATCATCGGGGGACCAGGCGATAAAGGTCACCTTGTTGCGGGAACCCTCGCCAGAAGCAAGCTTGTACTCGAAATCGTAGACGGCATATCGGGGACCCTTGCTGATGGCGCCCTGTAACGGTTGTGGTTCATTAGCGATCGGCGCTCTCCCGAAGATAATCATGTTCCTCCGTTCGATCAAGTCCACAGAACATGCCACGACAGGGGGTTGACATGTCTTGGCAGTCCCCTGTGTCTAACCGCCTTTTTGTGAAAGAACCCCTCAATTCCAAGACCCCTCCTCCCGTCCTCCCCCCTTTTTCTCCTTTCCAGGCAGGAGAATAAACAAGACAAGTATTTGCCCGCGATGGAAAGGGACTATAAGAGTGAGGATGGGCGGGTAGGAGGTAGTGGTATCGAGGGTCCGTATAGTTCTCTTTCGCATTCTGGGCTGGATTGGGCTGGGAGTTGGTTGCGACACTGGCAGCAACCAGTCACCAGGGGAAGAAAGGACCTACAGTAGCGCTCTTAGTCTGGGCATTGACGAGCTTCTCGCGGAACTCGTCGTAGTTCTCGGTGGCGCCCTCGCTGGTGCTCTCAATGACAATCTCCTTGAAGTCGTCCGAAAGCTTGTAGATGATGTACCTGAGCTGACGGGACATCAGCTTGTCGAAAGCCCTCCGGCACTCGGGGTCGACCTGAACTCTGTAGAGTGACGCAAGCAGAGTACGTTAGCTATTCTGAGTTCTTCCATGTATTGCGTGTTGTCGATGCTGTTGTTGCTGTCTTTTGCGGGTCCCGCTCCCCATGTCCCAGCGCGCTAGCTACCCGCCGCCAGATGCAACTCTGTCGCTGCTGCGTGATATAGGACGGAGGGATCTCGAGATAATGGGCTGGTTGCATCGCGGCAACGGACGGGCAACGGGCGGGCAAGGCGGCGATAGGGTAGCGTCAAGTTATTGCGGTTCCTGAATCCATCGGTGAGGATGATCCAGGGGCAAGCAAGCAAAATGGCGGGGACGGGGGCAGGATGTAGCAAGTTCATGAAGGACTAACCCAGATTGAGACTGCGACAAGGCAAAGAAGTCAGCGACATGTTGCACAGCAGAGTGCGGGGGGCGGCGCGCGTTGGGAAAGGGGGGAGGGCAGGAGAGAATGATTTACCATGATGTCAGGTTGTGATGTGGTGGTTTTGTAAAAGTGTTCTTGTCAAAAAGTCGACGACGATGGGTGAACCGATCGCGAGAATGGGGGGGGCGAGCGTTATATGTGGAGAGGGGAGCCGAAAGCTGGATGGCGCGGGAAGGTTGTCAGTCAGTCGGGTCGGGTCAGCACAACAGGGACGGACGGTAGAAAAGGCAGTCGGGGGGCGGAGCGAGGCGAGGGGTAGCAACATGGAAATGGAACTCGAACTGGAAAAGGCGGCGGCAAGGGGACTGGAACTGTAAACTGGAGCACACGGCGGCAAGGCTACAACTCGGTCAAGCCAACCTCGCTGGCGAATATACATACGTACGATTAGGTAGAAAGAGTGCTATGGGATGGTTCCGTTGTATGTAAAAAGGTAGAGAACCGGGAGTTGTCAACACGAGGAAGCAAGGACGGGGACGGGGGACGGAGACCGGGAAGAGAGCTCTTGGGAAGAGACCTGAACTTGAAGGTTGGGAGCCTGACGCGAAAGGAGCGAGGGGTTCCATTCCCGGGCACCGTCAGCCAGCAGCCAGGCAGAGAGAGAGGCCAGGGCGCCGACGAATGCCACCATTCGTTGACCGGGCACACAACTCTTCTAAGCACCGGCCACTGGGCAGTGGATGGGCACCTCACTGCCAATCTGACCCTCTAATCTGCTCCAACACAACACCACAGCTCCAACATCAGCCCCAGTCCCCCTTCGCAAAGCAGGGCAGCTGCTGGCCAGTGAACAGCATTGTGGACTCCTCCGTCCCGTCCGTCACTTTGGGTGTGGGCTCCCACCTAACAGGCGGACGGAGAGGGACGGTGCAGAGTGGATCCCGCTCGACGTCGATACCAGTGGTACGTACCCTCAAAGTAAACGACGCCGGCGTGATAGAGGTAGCAGTGTAGTTCCAATGCCTGCTTACCATCCATAGAGAGTAAAAAGGAGGGCTTCCATTGTGCGTTCATCAGCCATGTACACTTGGCTCTTCTGTCACAGCGAGGTGATTTGCGTCTTTCACGAGCTCGCAAAAGCTGTGATGAACTGATGATACAGAACAGAGCAGGGGTGGCCGGCGTGAACGACGAACAACACGGGAAGCTCTCGATGAGATTACGTTTTTCACCACCAGGGAAATGAGTACGTCGTCTTTTACACTGGCTCTCGACAGTCACCTCCCTTAACGCGCGTTTATCATTCTCGGTAATCGAAAGGATTTGTAGCCGCCAGGCATCAGTGGGCAGTTACCTGTTGGACCTTGAAATTACAGAAGTGAAAACGGTAGAGGTAATGAAACTGGATGGAGGCTGGATGGAGAGGTTGAGGTGGATGTCGATGGAGGGGGGGAGCCACCGCCTGGATGGAATCCTTATGAGATGGTGGGGTTGCTTGTTGTTCCGTCGACAGTCAGGTCCGTCGTCAACAACTGCCCTCAAGCTGAGTGCTGTCTGTCAAGTTCGTTGTCGTCTGCGAAACGAAAGCAGACGGTTGGCCATGTGGCTTGCACACCGAGTTGACAGCTCTGTTTGAGCCTCTGCAGCGACGGGGAGAGTGCCACCTGGTAGAAGAGTCCCACTACACTTAAAACATGTTTACTTGGCGCCGTTTCAGTGTTGCACCGTGCAATTTCTGTTCCACCTTGCCTTGAATTCGTCAACCTCTGTCAACCACCACCACCAAATGATTGGCCCAAGCTCCCATCACATCGACCTTCATCCAATTCACAAATGCGTTTCCAAGTTCTAACAACCCATCTTGATACCTTATCTCACAGCCACCATGGCAACGCAAGCTTCTCACGGACTTTTAGGCTTCAATATCAGCAAATGTCCGCATGCCAGACAATTGAGTATCAAAAGATATATCTGCCTAGTAATGCATCAGCTTCGCTGAACACTATCAACAGCTGCCTAACAGCCGAGTGAATGCGTAATGTCTCAAGAAATGATACGCATCCTCCAAAACCATGGTTGCACAGCTTTCGGATTATTCAAGGAGACATCAGTAGCAGTATTGTACAGTTTCATTCATTCTTATGATTTGCTCTACTCTAACCCTCCTCTGTGGTCCGTAGATTATAGTACAAGGAGCATTATCATCATCCAAACAATGCCCGCCGGAATATGCTAGTAAGAACACACGAAGAGAAAAGGTAGAGAGGAGAGAAAGTTACATGACACACATTTTTTTACAGTCCGTGATAACACCAAGCCCGATGCCCCCCAAACCCATGTTGTCGCCATAAATCAAAGGTAAAAATAAAGAAAAGACACATTGTTCATCTCCTGATCGTGTGATTCACAGTTGTAGTTTGTAATTTCCTTGTCCTTCTTACATCATGCCACCCATGCCGCCCATGCCGCCCATGCCACCCATGGGAGCGGGGCCCTTCTCCTCGGGAGCCTCGACAATGGCAACCTCAGTGGTACCGAGGAGGGAGGCGACACCGGAGGCGTCAACGAGACCAGTGCGGACGACCTTGAGGGGGTCGAGGATACCGGCCTGGATCATGTCGACGTACTCAGCCTTGGCCGAGTCGAAGCCCTTGTTGAAGTCGTTGGCGAACTCGTCAGTGAGCTTGCCGACAACGACAGAGCCCTCGAGACCAGCGTTCTCAATGATGGTCTTGGCGGGGCGGGTGATGGCGTTGCGGACAATGGTAACACCGAGCTGCTGGTCGAAGTTGGCGGGCTTGACGTTCTTGAGAGCGTGGACGGAAGCCTTGATGAGGGCAGTGCCACCACCGGGAAGGATACCCTCCTCAACGGCAGCGCGGGTGGCGTTGAGAGCATCGACGAAGCGGTCCTTCTTCTCACCGACCTCAACCTCGGAGGCACCGCCGACCTTGATGACGGCAACACCGCCAGAGAGCTTGGCGAGACGCTCCTGGAGCTTCTCCTTCTCGTACTCGGAGGTGGAGGGATCGGCCATGACGCCGCGAATCTGCTCGCAGCGCTGGGCAATGGCATCCTTGGAGCCCTCACCGTTGAGGATGATGGTGTCGTCCTTGGTGATGGTGATGGAGCCGGTGGAGCCGAGCATGTCGGGGGTGGCCTTCTCGAGCTTGACGTCGAGCTCGTCGGTGAAGACGGTACCGTTGGTCAGGACGGCAATATCGCCAAGGATGGACTTGCGGTTGTCACCGAAGCCGGGGGCCTTGACGGCGGCGACCTGGAGCTGGCCGCGAAGCGTGTTGAGAATGCAGACAGCAAGAGCCTCACCGTCAATGTCCTCGGCAATGATGACGAGGGGGCGGCGGGTCTGGCTGGAGATCTCGAGGGCGGGGATGATGTCGGAGGCCTGGGAGATCTTCTTCTCGGAGAGGAGGATCAGGGGCTTCTCGAACTCGACCTTTTGGGACTTGGGGTCGGTGATGAAGTAGGGGGAGACGTAGCCGCGGTCGAAGCGCATACCCTCGGTAACCTCGAGCTCGTCGTAGAGAGTCTTGCCCTCCTTGCAAGTGATGACACCCTCCTTGCCGACCTTCTCCATGGCCGAGGCAATCAGCTCACCAATGTGCTTGTCGCCGTTGGCGGAGATGGTGGCGACCTGGGCAACCTCCTCGGAGGTGGTGACATCGCGCTTGTTGGCCTGGAGGTACTCGACGACGGCCTCGACGGCAGCCTGGATACCGCGGCGGAGATCCATGGGGTTGCAGCCGGCAGCGACGTTCTTGACGGTCTCGGAGAAGATGGCGCGGGCGAGGACGGTGGCAGAGGTGGTACCGTCACCGGCGACCTCGTTGGTCTTGCCGGCGACCTCCTGGATGAGGCGGGCACCGAGGTTCTCGAACTTGTCCTTCAGGCTGATGGACTTGGCGACGGTGACACCATCTGTTGGGTGGGAGGGGTTAGTCACTCTGACACACATGCCATGTTTCCCTATCACACCCCGAGACACGGTATACTAACCCTTGGTGATCTTGGGGGAGCCGAAGCTGGACTCGATGAGGACATTGCGGCCCTTGGGACCGAGAGTGGTGGCAACGGCCTTGGCGAGGGTCTCGACACCGGCGAGGAGAGCGGCACGGCCCTCAACACCGAACTTGAGCTCCTGTGTGGGAGCTGTCAGTATGCGCCAATTGTCATCGGATAGCCATGACGGCATGGCCGGGACCCGGATCGTACCTTGTGAGCAAAGCGGAGCTGCTGGGCAGGAAGACGAGTGGCCGCCTTGCCGACGGAAGCTCTGGTCAACGCGCGCTGCATTTTGGGGGTATTGTGTGAAGGAAGGAAACTACAAACAGAGAAAAAAGAAGGATGACGGGGGTATCACGGTTGACTTCAGGGGAAAAGAGAGCAAAGGAAAGCTAGGATCGCGGACTGCCGAAAGAACTGGGGAAGAAAAGTGCGGCCGTGGGCGTGTCGGCGTTCGAAAAAAATGCTGGACTTAAACATCTCCAAAGGCCCGAGCTCCCCGCTGCCGCTAGTCGCTTGTGGGTTAGCGGCTTGCTGCTTTCCCTCCATTTCCGCTGCTGTCGCTGTTTCTGGAACCATCTGCACCCCACCATTGGCTGCTGGGAGGGAGTCCCCAACAGTGCCCAGGTGAGCATCATTCCCCCTCATTCACTACCACTGGCACTCGCGGTGTTTATGTCGCGCAGCACCTATATCGAGGTCCTGACTTGACAAAATGGACACGCAACTTTGAGGCTCACACCCTTTTCTGGACTGTCAACTGCCTCGAGACGGTTTGGATCGAATTGATCAAAAATGGCCAGTTCATCTAGACATTCAGACATTGACGGCCGGTGAGTAAGCGGCACGATGGATCCTCTGACGTCCATGCATTTCCATGTCAACAAAGTCGCTCCTCTTCCCCGGGGAAGTACCTCGCTCTCGGCAGGCAGTCCCCAGAATTACCCGGCAACCGAACCCCCCTGGACCGTCTTGGTCGGTCTTCGCAAACCCGTCTCCTCCCACTTGAGCCTCAACACCGACCGGCCTTTCACGACTCGGCATCCCCGGCATCATCGGCGCCAGCAGTCACAGGTCGAAATATTCGGACACAACTCCTAGTTTGTGCATATGCTCTGGGATCTCGACAACTTCAAGTTCGTGACCCATTCCTACACATCCCTGTTCGGCCCATCCTACACGCCTGCTTTGCTTCTTGATCCCCATCAACCATGTTGGAGCAGACAACGGGATTGCAATATGGCATTTGATCTTGTTTTCTCCCTCATCATGTCTGCGTCTCCATATGTGTGTTGAGGTGCGGACTCTGGTTTTACAACTGGCATGAAACTGGTACCTGAGATCACTTCATTCCCTTCATTAGACTCTGAAAAAGTTGACTACTATGATGCTCCTTTCAGTATAACACGTCCCTAACATGAAATTTTGAGGAGCCAATCACAAACCTTGATTGCTCTTTTCCCATGTCTCAACCGGAAGACCACTCATCAAAGACAGTCTCTTTGAACTCCTCTTACCACGTCCTTACCCGCTTCGAGAATCACTCCCAATCGCTGCTTATCGTGAGCTCGCCTTCCAAGTATACTATTCTGCTATTAATCAAGGTGGCTTCATAAATCGCAGACTATGGTTAGACTTCACCAGTCTATCAAACTCCTTCCCAATAACTTCACCGTACACTCTCCCCGAATCCTGGTTTGTCTTCATATCTTATGTCCATCTATGCTCTACTTTACTGCTCTCTCCCTCATTTGCGAAACCTTCATCTCGATTCTTGAAGAGTGGCGTTGCCAGTACTCACCTCGATTGTCTAGTTCTATATCGAACGTCAAAATAGATGACTCCATTGCAGTTAGGTAGACACTTTCTTCCACCGCCTCAAACTCTCAAATTTTTCACTTCTACTGCTTGTTTACTTTTTGTATTGAACCGTAACGCTATTCTTTCTCTGTTGTGTCGTGTTGGTTTTCCGGGTGTTTGGGTCATCGTTTAACTTCTCATCAACTACGAGATATGGGAACCATACGACAATGTGGATCCAGCGCCGGCATATCAAGTATACCCTATGCGCCTACACTCACGAAACATTCACGCATGTTTTTTTCGGCGAACGGAGCTGTTTGTAAGTGCTTCTCTTTGAGTTTGAGCTCTAAACTATGATGCCAGCTTCGGGTACCTGATTTCTTCTAGTCTCAAGTGCAGCATAAAAAGCTAACGTGAGCCCGTAGATGACAAACTTTCCACCACACTGCACTCTAGATGAACCGAATGTACGAACGCAACAGTCTCAGCAAGGTAATCACGATGACCTTCAACGCCTCTAAATGCTGAGCTTGAACCTCCATCTTTGCCCCCCATTCCTCCGTCTAAGACGCAAAGTCCTTCGACCACCGACGACATGTCCGTGAGAGTTATGTTGGCTTTGACCCCTCATACTTAACCGATTGTTATTATAACGCGCCCACCACTGGTAGAACCCCTTAACGCCATCCCCTGCCTTGATGGTTCTCTGGTAATTAGTTGTTTCCGTCCTTTTTCTCTCTCTCTTATTTTTCTTTTCTTTTTTTTCTTTCTTTTTTTCTCTCTCTTCTTTCTTCCTCTTGTTTTTTCCTGTGATGGATCGACAAAGATCGGCAAAGAGTCCGCAACCAAATCAAAAGAGAAACATAATGAGCTGGCTCTTCCCTTTGGTTCAAAAAGCTCAGTTTGTGTGAGTATTCTTTCTCTGCCATAATGACTGATGACAGACTAGAATAAACAAACCAAGCCACATCAACCGCAAGGAGAAAAAGACAGCAAAGAAAACTGAAGAAATAAGATAATTGAAATCCGCCACAGTAAATACCAGACTTTGTGGCGGTCTAGCGGCAACGATCATATCAAGCATGCTTCGCCCTCTTGGAAGGTGACTGCTCACGCTCATCATCATCATCGTCCGGCTCAGACTGAAAGTCAAACATGTGGCCGCCTTTGCTGGACGCGCGGTTCTGGCCCAAGAAAGGGTCCTGGAACTGACCCTGTTGGCTCAAGGCATGGGAGTACTGGCTTTCCTGACCATGACCGCCGTGGCTGCTGCTGTCCTGTGTGGACTGAGAATGATAATTCCCATTTCCCGAATGCAAGGCACTGGCGAAGTTGTAAAAGTCGGGCCGCATCAAGGGAGCCTTACCCAGCACGTCAGAAGCGCCGCTCAGACCCAGAGGAGAGCGAGGATCGCTGTAGACTGGCTCGTTGTAGTCATCGCCGGCGGCATCCGCGTCGCGCATGAGGTTGGTGATGGGAGGGAGGCGATATTCGTTGCTGGTATAGCCGTTGTGGTTCGTCGTGCGCGCTGGAGCGGGCTTGGGGGGAGAATCGAGGTCCTCGAACTATGGGGGAAACGAGTCAACAAACAGGCTAGATGGTAGTGTTGGAGGAGGACGAGTTGGGAAACTTACATCAGCATCTTCGCCCTCATCCTCAAACTGAGGAACATACGAAGGGACACTACCATTACCGTTACGGTTACCGTTACCGGCACCACCACCAGCACCGGCAGCTTGGCCATCATTCTCCGAGTCATAACGCAAATAATACTCATCGGCCTCAGCACCGTAATCCTCAGCTTCGCCCTCATCATCAGCAACATCAGCTTCGCCCTGTTGATACTCGACAGACTGATGAGGCGCGCCGTAACCCTCCATGTCATCATCATCTTCGTCAGCATAGGTAGAGCGAGCAGTGACCTGCTTCTTAGCCCTAGCCGACCGACGACTGGCCGACTTGGGAGCCTTCTTAGTACCCGGGCGGTACTCCTCATCAGAATCAAGATCAGCCGGGTCAGGCGAAGGCTCGCGTTTGATCTTGACGACACCCCGAGCGCTGCCACGGCTAGCTCTCATGCGCCCACCACCACCACTACCGCCAGAGCTGCCATCACCAATGGGACCAACACCCGCCAAGATACCACCACGGGCACCACGAGGGGTGCCAGTGCCGCTGCCACGAGGCGTACCAGCACTGCTGCCTCCTCCTCCTCCTCCACCACCACCACCTCTTCCAAAGTTCTCCACAGCATCCGGCAAGTTAAACTTCCTATCCTCCATTGGCTCATCAAACCGGACAGCCCTAGTCGTGAGCTGATCATCCGGGTTCTCCTGGTTGGCGCGGACGTAGCCGCGGACGTGCGGGTCGACGAAGACGCGGGAACCCGGTTTCTGGCAGATGGGCGGGACCAAGTGGCCCTCGGCAATCAGGTGGCTGCGCAGTCGGTTGAGGTGCTGGTGGATGGCGCTTCCCGTTGAGCCCGGGTGCAGGCGATGGGCGATGGAGTCCCAGGGGATGTCGACGCGGTAGCGGCTGCATTCGTATTGGATGTGAAGGAGGAGTTTCTCGGCCATGCGGGGGCCTGCGAAGAAGGAGAGAAGACAGAGGGGTTAGTAGTTGTGGCTTGGGATATATGGGGGTTGGTTACACACGGCGACATGGTTGGGCGATGTGGAGTGGGGGAGGTAGGGTATGGTACTCACGGCTCCAGGTAATCAAGTTTCTACCTTCGACGCGACCGTTCTTCTTGCGCTCTTCGTGACTCGGGGGAAGGTAGGTGAAGTTCCACTCCTTTGCTGGTGTGCCCTCGTCCTTCTTTGCGCCGCCGCCGCCAGCAGAAGGTCTAGAGGGGGTCGAGGGACCGGCGAAAGCGGCACTGGAGGCGGAGTTGACGCGGGCGTGATGGGACTTCACCGCGGGGGACTGGCCCAGCTTGGTGGGTGACTTTCTTGTGCCACCCATTTTGGTATTTGCCCTCGGAGGGGTCGTCTTTGCTTTGTTGTCTTGTTCGGCAAGCCTTGTGCCTCTGAAATATCAAAGGATGGGGCTCTTTCCTCTTTTTCACCAGAGTGTCGACCCTTTTTGTTGCTGCGGCTAGAAAGACCAGAGGTGAAAGGTCAGCGTTGGTCCGTCAACTGACTGTCAGGTCAAAACAACAGATGGCTTGAGGTGATCTTGATCTTTCGACAGTATGGGGAGATGTGCCCAGAATGAGGGAGAAGTCAAAGTCGTTTGTCGAACTTTCACGAGAAAAGGCGACTCGCGATAATGACGACGTGACTCGAAGCAAAAATATCGGCGTCAATACGACGAAATGAGGTGAAAGTTGGTGACGACACTCCATCACCTGGCAAGATCAAGACAGTTCTTTGCGCGAAGAGACACTCGTTGACTTACTCTAGCGCAAACGTGAATCGATGGTGATGCTATACCGCACTCGACGGGTTGTTGCCTCTGATTTCAGAGCAAGGTGAGAAAGGGGCACGAAAAGTGAGGTTAAGTTGAAGGATAAAGATATGCCTGAGGGGCAGATGAGAGAGTACGTGCGGTGAGTGGGTCACTTGACGCTCAAGGATCGCTCAATAACTTTTGTTGGACAGTTTCCAAATCCACCGTTTGATATTTCTCCAGGAGGTCATTGAGCTGCTATTGGGCCGCGGGGTGTAAGTAACGGACGGGTCAAGGTCGTCGAAAGGCGGAAGGGGAAACCTTAGAATAGGGTTTCTGGGGCAACGGACGGAAGACCAGACCACTTCCTCTTATTCTCCATGCGACGTTTGAACAATAAGATGCCAAAGGTATGTTGATTCGATACTAGTCATTCACTTGTCCGTTGACTCGCAGTCAGATTGAAGATGTGATTTCTGGGCATTGGTCGGAAGAGCGCTTGGTATTGAAACGAAGCATTCACTTGCTCTCTACTCACTCCACAATGTTACAGGCGTCAGGTGACGGTATCAGGTGTATTGCATTTTTCTTGGAGGAGTCTACGACATGAGCTGGTACATGGCTGGCCTATCACGAACACAGATGTTATGTTCCAATGATCGATACTATTCAGCGGACACAGAATACTTGATGTATCGAACCCTGAGGCATTGTACAAACAATTTCGGAAGACGAGCCTCGAGGAACGAATTCCAGATGTACTTGTATTCAGAGGCACGCAGGACGTGAGAGAGACCGGGGTGACCGTTTGTCTTGGTAGGAGGCATCAAATTGTGAGTATTGTACTCAGAAATGTATATGGTTCTGGCATTGACCTATTGTATAAGAAGTTGTATCAGAGGGAAGTTAGAGTTGGCGTAAGCAACTCGCAAATATCGTGTGATTTGTAACCCGGGAATTTGTTTTTGTCGAAGAGGAAAGCGTATTGAAAACTTTAGTATCTCAAACATAGTAACTCCGAGTTCCGGAGGATCAAATGAACTCAAGATCTGAATCTCACTTGTCCTGATATTCTATGCTTGACATGTCTTCCTCTTCTGCTTCCAGTTCTTGCTGCAGTTCCCGAGCCCGATCCTGTGGAATTCCCATGAGATCTGCCCAATCTAGGTAGAAGATCTCATCGGACGAGATTCTAGACCTCGCTTCCCAGGTTGAGATAGCCATACAATATACCTCCGTCGTTGATAGCTCATAGTTGGGCACTATCTCGTCTCCATCACTCGAGATCCCCAATAATGCGAAGACATAATCCCTGGGATCTGTCGCCTCGAAATGGTGTTCGCACACCGTCTCCAGCCAGTTATTAAGCGTTGGCCCGTATGACTGTGAGCGCCAGTTGCGAAGCATGATCATATAGTCCACCGGAGCTCCGTAGAGTAAATCCAGCGCTGGCCAGTTCGCATGCGCCCCAGTGCGCAACCTGTCTCGAAGCTGTGTTATTGACCACAATCTGGCAATCTTTGGCCCCCGCTCAGCACATTCTTTCGAAACAAATGCCCGATTGCACAAAATCACATAGTCCCTTGCCAGCACAAATTCCTGCAAAATCCATACTCTCCTCCAGTATGTCGCGTCGCAGTATAGGTCCGTGAGCCCCTGACGTTCCTTCGAGCTATGATGATGTCCTTTGAGATACTGACGTAGATCCCACTTCTCCATCTTCAGTAATTCCATAGCCTCATCAGTGCATGCTGTCCCCATGCCCAACCAAACAATCACCATCTCTGCGGCCTTGTAGACAGTTTTCATTAATTGGACCTGGTGGCCCTTTTCCCGATTATCGAGCTGGTTGATGCAGAGGGCGTCCACCCAAAGATAGAGAGGTGATGTACCATAGAGTTTTTCATGGTTGTGGAGGATGCTGTGAAGAGCATCATGAAGATTTCGGCGGATATGGATGGAGTGGTTGTCGAGAAGCATCGTTGGAGTGTCTGAGGGGTTTGAAGGGGGAAGACCCCATTCGTAAGAAAGGGCTTTGTACGGTGGGCAGGGGCTTTCTCCGACTGCAGATAAGTTGACTTCACGGAGGGTAGCTGAGATGACTGGGATGTTTTGCGTGGAAGAGGCTACTGGGGGCTCAAGGCGGAGGAGGCGGATATGTTCCTTGGACTGGAGAGGCTCGTAAGGATATTTTCCGGTGAAGTCCTCGGACACTTTGCGATCAGTTGATGACGACGGCGTATTTCCTGGAGAGGAGAGATACTGGTCCATGTGGGACTCGGAGTCTGATAAGATCTTGGAGGACATTGCGAACGAGTGTTTGCTCGAGGCTATGGTTGACGCTTGCCTAAGGTAGGTGGTATTTCATTTTAGGTGGCGAAGGTAGGTATTCAATATTGATGTGCGACTAGAGAAACAAATGAATGTCAATGAATAAAGAGAAAAAAAGAGGAAGTCTGAAGGGTTGGGAAATCTCGAGACACTGGATGTAAACCCAAAGGTCGTCAGCCTAGCCGGTGACACAGCCTCAGCTGCCACCAACTCACCTACCTTTACCAAGTTGTGACCAATCATGCAACGAAGAACAACTCATCAACTTCGACCAATTGTGGCTCACGTCTCCCTTCAGACCACACTACACCTATTATAGCGTCCTCAGAGGTGGAAAGCTAGGGAAGCTGTAAGAGGCACTAATTTGGTGGCAGAAGGGCTGGACACGTGAAGAAATTGAACTGTTAGCATTGCAAATTCAAATCCACCTTCCTTTTACATCTTTTATTTGAGGTCGGAAATTCAAAGCGTGTTGGCCACATACACCGAGGGAGGCATTTCACGCAACGCGCAATGAAGAAAGCCGGAGAAAAAGGCAATATTTTCGGTATTTACCCAGCTTAACAACGACAATGTCGGGCACGAAACGCTCAAAACGAACATTGCTGAGGTTGAAAGCGGTCGGTGCAACCTGAACCCCCTTACATCTGTCCTCAGCATTATTGATTATGTATATTAGGGTGCGCAAAAGAACAAGGAGGTGCGCCGATTACCTATAACGATTGTCGACGTCCCTAAGGTGTACCCATATCAACCACTTCTGTCCGAAAATCACATCCGCCTCCTTCTCCTTGAGCCACTCGCTCCATCCTCCACCCAAAAGTCTCAACCCATCTGTGCCACCCTACACCAAGTTGAGCTCGATTCAAAAAGTTTGAGTACTCGACCATACAAAGCCCTGTCATACGAGTGGGTAGTTCGCAACGAGCAAAGTGGGCATGAATGGCGGGTCCACGAAGAACAAAATGAGGTTAACCCGACCATCCTCCTAGATGGCCATATCGTTCACATCGGCGAGAACCTTTACAACGCACTCGGAAGTATAAGACGCTTGAAGGGCGCGATAGGTGGATCGGATCTTTGGTTATGGGTAGATGCGCTATGTATCAACCAGGGCGACGTACAGGAAAGGGGCCATCAGGTGCGGTTGATGAAACGCATTTACGAAACCGCAGAAATGGTGCTTGTGTGGTTAGGAATGGGGAACGACCTGACCCATTTGGCGACAAAAGTATTGAACCTGGAGGCGGATGAGTTGCAAGACCGTGTCGCCATGGAAAGGCTGGAGCGCGATGAGCTGCATGGGATCCAACAGATCTGCGAGATGGGGTACTGGCGCCGAGTATGGATTCTGCAGGAGGTTGTGCTGGCGAGGAATTACATGGTCATCTGCAACCAAGACTTCGTGACGATGGACAAATTTCAAAGAGCACTGGCCCTGCTGTGCAAGCACACCTGGAAGACGAAGTTGAGAGAGTTTGTTCTTTGGCTGCCGGAGAGTCCGGCGCAAGAGATCATGGCTTTGAGGAGTTCGAGAGGGACCTCATCATCACTCATTCAGTGGGTGAGAATATGTGTGCGATGCCGATTCGGGGCAACGGAGCCAAGAGATCATGTATACGCACTCTTGGGAATCTCGGACGACTGTGAAGGAAAGATCGAGCCGGACTATTCGCGATCGGTGAGGAAGGTCTATTCTTCGGCCATTGCAGTGATTGGGAACAAGGCTGAAGGGTATAATGAAAGTTTATGTGGAAGCTTTGCAGAGTTGATGGGGTTGCACTGGGACGTCGGTCGCGCAGTGTGGGAAGAAATTTGCGGAAGGAAAGCTGAGGAAGAAGTAAACGGGGAAGTTGATTTTGTCATGGCAACTTCTCTACACGCCTTGCGACAGAGACTGCCATCAGACCCTGTAGCTCTCGGGAAGAAGGTCGATGCATTTTCAGAGCGTATGCGTTTCAGGTTGTGGCTCCTTACTGGACATCGAGAAATGCCTCTATATCCACAGCCCGGGGGTGAGCTTCCGTTCTCCAAGGGCACAACTACAACTAGTTTAGTTGTGTTGATGGCTGAGCCACACTTTGTCTGGTGTTTACCAACGTGGGCCGTGCTGATGGATCTGCACTAGCCCACATCAATAGCCACGGATGAGCTACCGACGACCCCTATACTTCCTTCCAACTGCCCCAACCCACTGTTGTGACCATCCAACTCCATGTCATTCGTTCGTCTCATCCCGACCATGAGGTTCATGCCAACGCTGCACGATGTTGAGGCCAGTTTCAGGGTACTAGTCAGGTCCACAAAATTGACCCCCTGACTGGTGGAAAACCAAGTGAACCTTGATCAAGTGGAAAGGAGGAATCGAGAAAAAAGCGACCATGCAGAGAGTCAGGCAACGAGGCCGGAGTCCATAGGTCGCCTGAAGGAGCAAGGTAGGTGTTTTGAGGAGGTTTGAGACACGGCCGCTTTCCCTTGCAAACGCAGACGAACACAGAAACAAAATACTGTCAAATATATGGTATCGAACTCCGTCTAGACCGAGCGAGACTCCGCTGCCTCAAAGTCTCATCAATAAAGCGTGACAATTTTCCCACCAAGAAACGCCGCCCAATGCAAAAGAAAATAGTAAGCGATAGCGTGAAGAGCGAGACACCGCACAAACCATGGCACACGAAAGCCAAGAACACCGCAACAATTACTCCAGCTTGGCCAGGATAGCCTTTTCTCTCTCCGCCTTGCGCTTCTCGAACTGCTTGACCGAGTGTTTCCTCTCGTTCTCCTCCCTTCTCTTGATGGCCGCAAGCTCCTCGCGTTTGATCTCGGCGGCCTTCTTGACCACCTTGGGCAGGTGCCTGTGACGAGAGATGCGTTTGATCTCGGGCATGTGAGAATACCTCTCGACCAAGGTCTTGTTGTACTCGAGCGCCTGTCTCTGCTTGGTCGCCTTGACGCCGCTGCGTTCCGAGGCATTGGCACGCCACAAGCGGATGTTACCCTGTATATCACGTTAGTTGTGCTGATCGAATAGTTGGAGAAAAGAAAGGTGACAACGTACATCGTCACTACCGCTGAGAAGGTACTTGGAGTCCATGGTCCAGGTAGTCCGGAACACCCTCTGCATACGCTTGGTGTGGTAGACATCGCGAGACATGCCCTGGTCACGGCGCCATACCCTGATTGTGCGGTCATACGAACCAGTCACGAGCTCCTCGCCGGTAGGAGAGAATTCAACGTCCATCACTGCCGCAACGTGGCCCTTTTGGATATTCTGCGCCTTAGTGAAGTTCCTGGCGTCGAAGAGGTAGACGTTGTGATCTTCTGAGGCAACAGCCATGTTCATCGCCTCCATGGGGTTGAAGACAATGCGGTTGGCGGCGAACTTGAGAACAGTCTTGATGACGGGCATGTTGGTGCGCAAATCGAACAGAATAACGGAGCGATCTGTGCCGACGGAACCCACGATCGAGGTCTCCACCTGGTTGAAGCAAACATCGGTGATGGTGTCGCTGTGGTTCGGCCACTGTATCGTCTGAGGAGCCGTGCTGTGCTCCAGATCCCAAACACGAATACAGCCGGCACCCGAAGAAGCGACGAAGGAGTTGGTGGTGCGGTGGAACGAGAGAGCCGTGTATGGACCACCTTCTTGCCATGTCGCAAGTGGCGTTGGAGAGTCGGTCTTGGTGTAAGGGTCCCAAAGCTTAATGCCGTCAGTGGCACATGTGAGGAGCTTCTTGTCGTTGGTAAAGGTCATTCCCTTGACGATGTTGTTGTGGGCGGCGGCCTTCCATGCTTCGTCCCGTGTTGTGAGATCCCAGACCTTGACGATACCGTCACCGGAACCGGAAGCGATTGTGTGTAGCGAGTTCTTATCCTTGGCCATGCTGTAGATACCCTGAACGTGGCCATTTCCTAGCTGGCCGAGGAAGGGCTTGGCGAAGACTCTCTCCAACTTGACGGCATTGAGGGCTCTCTTGTACTCGCGCGCGCGCTCGAAGGGATGGAGTTCGGGCGCAAGGTTACGGGGTGCGCGGGTGACGTCGTTACCGGGGGCCTGTTGAGCCGAGATGTTTCGGCTGAGGGCTTTGATCTGTTGTAGAAGTGTCAGTGGTGAGCCTGGGACCGGGTTTGCGAATCTTGATAGGCATCGCGTATGGTAGGCCCAAGTACCTTCATGGTGACGGTGATTCTCTGTTGATGATGTTGAAGGGGTCGTGGATGAGAAGGCTACCAAGGCCGACGAGTATCGAGCGTAAATGAGTCGTATGAAATTGAGTAGGGTTGAAGTCTGCCAGTCGGTTCACCTTGTCGCACAGTCCAGGTGCTGTGATATGGTTATTGACCTTGGAATTAATGAATAATGAATGGATCAACGGATGGATGCCGGGAGCGTCTGTCGCCAATTGGGGAGCACAGTCGGACACGGGCAGTTTGACAGCTTCCGTCCCTTTCCTCTGGAGAAATTTTGGCGGGGTCTGGCGGCAAGAATCTTGACCGCCTTCTTGGCAAACTGCTAAACGCTTAGGCTTGGAGTGTTAGAGCTTCGCTGCCAAAAGGATGGACAGGGCCTGAGCTACCGAGAGCTGGGCTTGCCTGCCGTGAGATGACAGGGATCTCTAGGTGGATGTCTCCAGCTAATTACGTCGCGCCTGGCTACCTAGCGGTAGTACGTAGTGTACAGCGGTCTCGTTAGTGGACATGCCGCCTGCACTTGACTTGGGTAACAGCTGTGCTCCAGCAGAGGACGGGTGGTGAGGTTCGTCACGACACCAACGGAGAACAACCTGAGCTCCAACTTCAACACCCAAACAACCACAACTTTCAAGCCGACACTCTGCGACCACCGATACGCCGCATATCCCCCCGCGACCTCGAGTAATCACCATCGTATTCGATTGCCAAACTCTCGATCTATACTACCACCGCTTACCACTTGGCGACCGGGACAACCAGCACACGACACCATGGCCCAGGGCGAAGCATCAGAGAGAGTGCGCGAGGCGCAGAAGGTGGTCTCGACCGATCCTCGCCAGGCCGAGCAGATTTACAAGGATATCATCTCCAAGCCGCCATCAGTCACCTCTGACGCGGCCATCCGGGAATATGAGACGGCTTTGATTCACTTGGGAGAGCTCTATCGCGACGAGAAGTAAGAGTGGCGGGTGTATGTCGTGGTCATCAAGGAGGGGTACGGTCACTAACCTCCCATCACCGTGTACAGGAACACACAAGGCCTTGTAGACCTCGTAACCCAGAGCCGCACAGTTCTCTCCTCGTTCGCAAAGGCAAAGACGGCAAAGCTTGGTACGACCCCGCCATCAGCTTGTTGACGCGCTATACACGCTTATGAGGATACTGACACTTGTTGATGCATACAGTCCGCCAGCTCCTCGACCTCTTCGAAGCCATCCCCGACTCTCTCGACATCCAGATTTCCGTCACCAAGTCGTGTATAGAATGGGCCACATCAGAGCGCCGCTCCTTCCTCCGCCAGAACCTCGAAACCCGTCTTGTCGCCTTGTACATGGCCAAGCAGTCCTACTACGATGCCCTGACGCTCATCAACGGTCTCCTCCGTGAGCTCAAGCGCATGGACGACAAGCTCGTCCTCGTCGAAGTCCAGCTGCTCGAGTCGCGGGTATACCACGCCCTCGGCAACATTGCCAAGGCCCGCGCCGCCCTCACCAGCGCGCGCACGAGCGCCGCCTCCGTCTACACCCCTCCTCTGCTCCAGGCCAACCTGGACATGCAGTCGGGCATGCTGCATGCCGAGGACAAGGACTTCAACACGGCCTTCAGCTACTTCATCGAGGCGCTGGACGGCTACCACACGCAGGAGGAGCCACAGCGGGCCCAGGCCGCGCTGCAGTACATGCTGCTCTGCAAGATCATGCTCAACCTCGCCGATGACGTCAACCAGCTCATGACCTCCAAGCAGGCCGTCAAGTACGCCGGCAAGTCGCTCGAGGCCATGAAGGCCATCGCCCGCGCCCACAGCAACCGATCTCTCGAGGAGTACGAGCGCGCCCTGGCGGCTTACCGGTATGAGCTGGGCAGTGACACCTTCATCCGCAACCACCTGCGACGCCTGTACGATGCCATGCTGGAGCAGAACTTGATCAAGGTCATTGAACCCTTCAGCCGCGTGGAAATTGACCACATCGCCAAGATGGTCGGCTTGGACACCCAGCAGGTGGAAAGGAAGCTGTCGCAGATGATCCTGGACAAGGTGATCATTGGAGTGCTAGACCAGGGCGCCGGCTGCCTCATCATTTACGATGAGACGCACCGGGATGAGGCGTACGATGCGGCGCTGAAGACCATTGAGAAGCTTAGCAATGTGGTTGATGTACTTTATACCAACCAGGCCTCGCAGCTTGAGTAAAAAGCGAGGTTCAAGGCAGAAGCAGGGTTTAAATGGATGGATGGATGGATGGTTTAAGGGTTTACAGCATGGGGTTCGTCTGTAACATTACGCTTAGATATGGTATTAGTCGGGCGTACTGAACTAAACACGATAAACCGCATGATCATAAGTCTAAGTTTTGAGCAATGGTGGCGGTCTGGTCTTTCAAAGTGTTGCAGATATGTGATATTGTATGTCCAAATTTCAGAAACTAGAAACAACCAATGTTTGTACAAAGAACCATTTAACAACATGGTATCTCCTACTCATGCATCCATCCAGTTATACTTTGGGTATCCAGTTCCTTCTTTCACTGTTCTTCCCTTCTTCCCTTCCCATCCATCCATCCATCCATCCATCCATCCATCCATCCATCCATCCATCCATCCATCCATCCATCCATCCATCCATC